CGACGACTTATGCATAATAACATTCTTTCTTTTTAATAAGAAGACTTGTACATGAGACTTAAAGCAATAAATATATCCCCTTGCTACTAGAGAAGAACTCCACAGACGRATCATAGASGTTKTCAAGATTTAAAGGCTAACAATACTCGAAATRCGTATTCCACCTAATAAACAAACCGGTTTCAAGCCCATCCTATCATTATCAACGGGATTCTCAAATTTATATAAATTTTGGCCCAAAACCCTCATTTTCATTCAAGTAAGTAAACTTCATGGGACTAGGGTGTACCGTAAGTAATGCACATTACCGCATCTAGCATAACTATAGGGTTTAATTAATGAGAAATGGGATGAACTCACGTAGTAGGAWTTAAGGAAAATCCCAAATCTTTGGACAAATGGGCAGCGCTGTTCGGGCGACTGAGAAGCGCAGAAACAACACAGCAAAGCTGTTGTCCGCTCTTGCTGTTTGTTGTTGCTGTTTTGCTGCTATTTTGTTGCTGTCCGACGACCGAGATGAAGGAAAAGTAACACAGCGAGGTTGCTGTTTGAGTGACCGAGAAGCGCAGAAACAGCACAGCCAAGCGGCTGTCCACTCTTGCTGTTTGCTGTAAACGTGAGGCACGACAKCAGCTGTTGTTTTGCTGCTGTCAGGATCGATGTAGCTGCAGTTGGTACAGGTCTGAGGAGGCGACGAACACGCAGGAAGCGCTGCTGTTTTGGGTGAAGAAACACGCAGCAGAGTTGCTGCTTTGCTGTCTGCTGCTTGGCAAAACGCAATAGCAGTTGCTGCTCGGTGCGGTGAACGCAGAAACAGCACAGCTACGGCTACTGCCTGCTGTTTGCTGTTTGTTATGGCACGGCTGCACCTGACTTGCTGCTAGGTGTGGCCCAAGATGTGGGTTTGTCTTGAGGGTGCGAGGCGCAGACTCGGCGGGACGACTCTGCGCGCATACGCGATCGTTGTGCTCGCTGCTTCGAAGATCTGTTCAAACAGTAGCAGTCCCAGGTGGGTGTGTTTCGTTTTCTTTGGTTAGACAGCCTTGCTCCGATTATTTTCTGGCCAACCTGCAGTTGTGAGCACTGCTCGAGCCCAACCAACAGCCACGACTGCTTCTTCACGAACCAGAAGTCCAGATGCTTCGTTTACCTGTTTTCTTGCAGCAAGGGAACGATTTCACCTCTCCCCTTCATGAAACTTCCTCCCCCTTTTCTATTTTTTTCTCCTCCTGCTTTTGCTTAGCAGTTTTTGATCCCTTTTCCTAGGGAAAGGAGAAGGACCCCCATGCCCCTATAAGGAGAGTCTTGAGGGTAAGACAAGTGTAAGTGTGAAATGACAGCAACCTACCCCCCTTTCTTATTTTGAAAAGGCTTAACAAATATAAGTTATAAACTTATAATTATAATACATAAATAGCACTAACGAGACGGAACCCTTGACATGAACGGAATAGATAAAACGGGAAAATCTCAAGTGTTACAATCCTCCCCACCTTGGATTTAATTTCGTCCTCGAAATTTCGGCTCATGCGAAAAGGTGTGGGTAACACCTCTTCAAGTCCTCTTCTGCTTCCCATGTTACGTTTGACCCTCGGTGATGCTTCCATTGTACTTTAACCATGACAATTTCTTTGTGTCTCAACACCTTGGTCTTTCTCTCCAAGATGGCTTCTGGTTCCTCAACGTACTGGTTGTTCTTATCCACATGAATTTCCGATAGTGGAATAACACTTCCTTCTTCCGCTAAGCATTTACGAAGGTAACATACATGAAATGTGTTGTGGATCTTGGCCATTTCAGGTGGTAGTTCTAATTTGTAAGCTTGAAGCCCTACCCTAGCCAGAACTTTAAACGGCCCAAGGAAACGGGGACTTAGCTTCCCGCGCTTTCTGAAACGGATAATGCCTTTCCAAGGGGACACCTTTAGCATTACACGGTCGTCCACTTGGAATTATATATGTCGGCTCCTCTTATCTGCGTAACTCTTTTGTCGATCTTGAGCCGCCTTTAAGCGTTCCCGAATACACTTCACCTTGTCGACCGTTTCCTGAACGATCTCGGGACCAGCAAATTGTTTCTCTCCCGCTTCTAGCCAACACACTGGAGTTCTACATTTTCATCCATACAATGCTTCAAAAGGTGCCATTCCGATACTGGAATGATAACTATTGTTGTAGGCGAACTCCACCAGGGGTAAGTGAGAATCCCAATTCCCCCCAAAGTCGATAACACATGATCTAAGCATGTCTTCAAGGGTTTGAATGGTTCGCTCGCTCTGACCATCGGTTTGAGGATGGTAAGATGTACTTTACTTCACCCTCGTTCCCAACTCTTTCTGCAAGCCGCCCCAGAAATGGGAGGTGAATCGGCTATCCCGATCTGACACAATAAACAATGGTATACCATGCCTCGAAACTACTGCATCGATGTATAACCGGGCAAGTTTGTCCATTGGCAACGATTCTTGCATGGCTAAGAAGTGTGCACTCTTTGTCAGCCGATCAACCACCACCCATATCGTGTCATGACCTCTTAGAGTCTTCGGTAGTTTAGTTACGAAATCCATCGTAATATGCTCCTATTTCCACTCTGGAATCTCCAAGGATTGGAGGCTACCGTAAGGTCGTTGGTGTTCCACTTTCACTTGCAAACATGTTACACACTTCTCTACGTAACGAGCCACATCTAGCTTCATGACAGGCCACCAATATATCAATTTCAAGTCTCGATACATCTTGGTGCTACCCAGATGAATGGAGTATTTGGATTTGTGTGCGTCTTCTAGCAACAGTTCACGATTCCCTCCAATCTTGGGTACCCAAATACGTCCTTGAAACAACTTCAAGCCACGACCATCCTCTGTCAGCAGTAAGCGTTGTTTCAACATTACTTCACTTTTGAGGTTCTCTTCTAGGAGTGCTTCAGATTGCGCCACCTTGATTCGATCGATCAGACTGGACACTAAATCGATCCTGGTAAGCACAGCTTTCGTCCCACTACCATACTCCTTTCGACTCAAAGCATCTGCCACTACATTTGCTTTACCCGGATGGTATAGCAATTCAGAATCGTAATCTTTGAGCAACTCAAACCAACGACGTTGTCTCATGTTTAAATCCTTTTGATCAAAAATGTACTTCAAACTCTTATGATCAGTGAAAAGTGTGCACTTGGCACCATAAAGATAATGTCGCCAAAGTTTTAAGGCGAACACTACCGCTGCTAACTCCAAATCATGGGTGGGATAATTCTTTTCGTGATCTTTGAGTTGTCTTGATGCGTAGGCAATCACCTTACCTTTTTGCATCAAAACACAACCCAACCCCATTTTCGAAGCGTCGCTAAAAACCACAAAGTCTTCTGACCCTTCTGGCAAAGAGAGGATTGGAGCTTCACATAATTTCTTTTGGAGAGTTCTGAAAGCATTTTCTTCTTTTTCAGTCCAGATAAACTTCACATTTTTTCTAGTCAGTGCCGTTAAGGAGGAAGCGACCTTGGAGAAGTCTTGGATAAATCTCCTGTAGTAACCTGCCAGACCCAAGAAACTTCGGATCTCAGATGGACTCTTTGGTGGTTCCCAATTCATCATCGCCTCGATCTTGGATGGGTCCACCTTCACTCCGTCTTGAGTGACAATGTGACCCAAGAATTGGACCTCATTTAGCCAAAAGTCGCACTTGGAGAATTTTGCATACAATTTCTCTCTTCTTAACACTTCGAGAACTTCTCGAATGTGCTGTTCATGATCCGTCTCGTCCTTGGAATAGACGAGTATGTCATCGATGAACACTATTACCGACTTGTCAAGGAATGGTCGGCACACCCGATTCATCAGGTCCATGAATACCACCGGCGCATTCGTCAGCCCGAAAGGCATGACTAAGAATTCGTAGTGTCCGTATCTCGTTCTAAAAGCTGTCTTTGCCACATCGTCTTCTTTCACTCGAACCTGGTGATACCCCGAACGAAGGTCGATTTTTGAGAAACAACGTGCTCCCTAAAGTTGAACGAATAAGTCATCGATCCTAGGAAGAGAATATTTGTTTTTCACGGTTGCCTTGTTGAGTTCTCGGTAGTCGATACACATCCGCATGGTGCCGTCTTTCTTCTTTACAAATAAGACTGGAGCTCCCCAAGGTGACGAGCTCGGTCTGAAAAACCCTTTCTCTAGAAGATCTTGCAATTGGGACCTCAGATGGCGCCAAGCGGTAAGGGGCCCTAGCAATTGGAGCGGTCCCCGGAATGAGGTCGATCCGGAACTCCACCTGCCTATCGGGCGGTAAGCCGGGTAAGTCTTCAGGGAATACATCGGGAAATTCCTTCGCAACTTTCACATCTTCAATTTTTCTTTTCTCCAATTTGACATCCAACACGTATGCAATGAACGAGGAACATCCCTTAGCTAAACACTTACGTGCCTTTGCCGTGGATAAGAGTACTACATTTTTTTTCCTTTCTTCTCCACAAACTAGCACTGCGTCCCCATCCGGCAAAGGGATTCGGATCAACTTCTTAGAGCATAAGATTTCTGCTTAGTTCTCTACCAGCCAGTCCATCCCAATTATGACATCGAATCCACCTATAGCCATGGGTATGAGGCCTACCCGAAATTCTTTTCCCTCGATTCCCAACACGCAATTCCTAACAATTTCGTGTACCAGAACCTGGCTACCATTTGCTATCTCTATGATCAATGCATCTTTTAGAGTACTAGGGGGCGCATGCAAGTGTTGATGGAAAGTAGTGGACACAAAGGAACATGAGGCACCAGAATCAAAAAGTACGTGTGCAGGTACGGAGTTAACAAGGAACGTACCCGACACCACATCCGACGATGCTTTAGCTTCCTCGGCAGTCATTTGAAAGGCTCGGTCGACTGATTTCAGGGTATTTTCTTTTCTCCCCTTACCCCCTCCAGCCTTTAACTTCAGGCAATCATTCTTGAAATGACCCGGCTCTCCGCATCCAAAACAGATGGGTCCCTTGATAGGACACTCATTTTACGTGTGGCCTGGCTTTCCGCACTTAAAGCATTTTACAAGAGTAAGGTTGGTGATGCACGGGCCGAGATGTTTACTGCGACATTTGGGACACCACTTGGCCTCTTGTCTAGGATAAACTCCACGGTTGTTGTTTTTGAGATGGTTTGGTCTCTTGGAAGGTGTATGATGACCTTCCCACTTTCTTTTTTCACTGCTAGCCGCTTTCTCTTCTCTCCCTTTGTTGTACACCGACTCCATGATCTTTGCCTCTTCAATTGCCTCTCTAAGGGTGGAGGCTCTGGAATTCCTGACCATTACCATCATGTCTGCGGGCAACCCCTTTAAATAAGCCTTCATCTTTTCTTTCTCCGTTACCAAATTTAGTTTTTCCATAAAGAGTCGTGTGTAGTCCCTTACCGACAAGTTTCCTTTCTTTAGGGTTCGGAACTCTTCTTCGATGCGGTCCATCTCCTGCTCATTGCAATATTCCTCCAACACATTTTCCTTAAACGTGGCCCAACTCATCTTGGCCAATTCCGTAACCTCTACGGTCGATATGACAATGTTCCACCACGTAAGGGTTGCACCCCTTAGCATTTGGGAGCCAAATTTCTCCTTTTGTCCCTCATCGCAGTCACAAGCCCGGAAGGCTTGCTCGATCTCTCGCAGCCAGTTCATACATGCCACGGGATCATCTGACCCTACAAACTCTGGTGGTTTGCAACATAGAAACGTCTTGTAGGAGCAGACCTTTCCCACTTGTCTTGCATCAATTGTTACTAATTCCTGGGTTGGAATTTCATTTCCGGTGCCCCCGGATCCCACAATAGTCACGTTTTCGGCAACCGCTTCATGCTTACGGTTGTTAGCATCTCTATCCTCCAATAACTTCATAAAGAATTCCTGTTGTTGGGCCATAGCTCTGTTCATGGTGTTCATCATCGTGCCCATCATCCTTGATTCTGGGGTTTCTTTTTCCATTACGGGGTTAGAGGTGGCAGGGTCGACCTAGGGAACGTGGTCAACTCCACCGCCCAAGATGTTTTGTCTAGGATGAACCCTTGCAATGGTGATTCGAGGCGGTTGATCCATGGTAGATTCAGTTACTGCATGACCTTCCGGAGAGGTATCCCGTCTACTCCGAGTATTCACCATTAAAGACTGTCAACAAGAGAGCGAAAGAGAGTTATGATAGGACGAACACGGGATTAACATAATACATACCGATACGTTCATAAATTCTTGTAACAACAGTAAGTTCAAGCATGTTTGTGTAATAACTTGCTCAAAATAGCATTAGCTAAGTGAAATTTTGAATAGGTTATACATGAGAATTCTTAACACCATCGTACCAATTCATGAACGGGGTAACTCCGATGTCCCTAGTGCTCTCCCATCCTAAAATCTATCCATAACGCACAAATTAACACCTACAATTTCAGCTTAAGTCTAGGCATCTTAATCCTATACCTAGTTCGCTTAAACTAGTGCTCTGATACCAACTTGTAACACCCTAAAAATATAAGGCAATTTGGACCGAAATATGAAACGAAAATCAGAACTTGATAAAAAAAATTCACCCAACAAAAGGGGTAATAGAATAACGTTTACAAATCAGCTACCGAGAAGATAATTAACAACCTACTAATCTAGATTTTTCTACAAATAGATTAAAGACGGGTGTTCCTATCAATCTCTAAAAATACCGTGACATCAAAAACGCAACGCTCAAAAGTAACAAAGGCTTAATCTACAAAAGAGTCTTTCTCAAACCAACGCTCCTCTCAACCCCTTTTAAGCCCCGCCGCTAACGGAACCTGATAAGTAACCAAAACAAGAAAGTGTTAGGCTTACAACTAGTGAGTCCAAACAATACGATAAATGCAATTGTAAGACCCTGTATGCAAGAAAGAACGTTTAAAAAGATGGCAGAAGTTTAAACGGTAACAAAAGGGTAAGTAAGTCTCAAATAATATGTGCGAGGGTCAAAACATCCGAAGATGACGGGGGAGACCCGATTTACCATTAATTATGACGGAACACAAAGTAAGTCATAGATCAATGTTATAGAGCATCACTTACCGGTATAAAACCATCAACATCAACCTAAACCAGTCATGTAGTCGGTCGTGATCATAAG